TCCAGGTCATGCTGCCAAGGGCTTCAGGCCTCCAGATAGACCAGCAATGGGGGAGGCTGTTCTCAAACAACTTCTGTTTGTTGCCATCAAATGGACCAGAAACTTCCTGGAAGAAAGTGGGTGCTCAGTTCAGAAGGGGAGAAGGGAAGACAAAAAGAGTTGAGTAGGTCAGCTAGGAATCCTGCCATGAAATGGTCTGTGTCCTTAGGTTGAATGTTGTACAAAAGGAAAAGAGGTTGTAGGGAAGCCTTCTAAAGTAACAGCAGTGAGTTGGCAAAATCCCCCACTTTTCTCCCATCTTCTGTTTGGAGCAGAGGGGCTGAGCAGAGCCCCTGGGTGGGAAGGAGACCCCTGGCCTTGTGGGAACTCCTGGGACCAGTGCTGTGTGGCCTTTGGAACATACTGAAAGTCTGTGTGGGGACTGGAGGAAAAGCTTACCGTCTTCGAGCGTCATTTGGCATCTCTAGGTCATCTCCCACCCTGTGAGCCTGTGGAGAGTGTCTTCCCCGGTGCAGCTGCCCCCACCCCACCTCAGCCCCTGCACTTCCTGCCACCACCACACACAGGTCATGGAGCCGCTCTTCTCATTCTTTAAGAACTCCCCACTCATTTCGCTAATCATAAATATTTTACATTACAGAGCCCCTTTGCCCCAATACACTGTTATGGAGGAAAAAAGTTTCTATACTCTTCGAGAGTCTTACAGGTGTTCTAAGAAGTAAATTGACAAGAGACAGATTATCAGGGGAAAAAATCAAATTAGATTTACTGATGTGCATATGAGGAATTCACAATAAACATGAGTTTCCAAGGACAGTTAGGCAAAAGGATGTATTTATGTTATCCTAAACTAAGGAGAAGGGGTAGGGGTCTGGGACTTCAAAGGGAAGGAAAGCAATTCAAAGGAAGATGGAGAAGAGTAAGGGAGTGATGGAGGCACAAAGAGAGAAAGGGAGGACACAGGAATCTGAGGAAAACAGCACCAAAGGCGATGGGAAGCAGAAAGCCTTGATCTGGCGGGTGAAGCTGTGGAGATGTCAACACCCAGAGCTGAGGAGTCAACTTCAGGGCTTCCACAGTGCTGGGACAAGGTGCCCCCATTCTTTGAGGTGACAGGAGCACAGAAAAGGGCTAAATGAGTAACTGAGCAGGACAAAGAAGGGTCATTTAAACTATCACCATGGGATTCAAAACCGATTTAAGCCCTGGGTCTCAAGAAAGGCGAGAGGTCCCCAAGGTGTTGGTAACCATACAGGAAAATGTCACCTGGAGAGGAAGACAAAAAAAGACAATCTTTGATTCGTGGCCTCCAAGATCAAGTGTTTCCCACATTTGAGGTAAACAATACATTTTTGTTGAAAGAATGAGTGATTCAATCAGTGGGAAAAAACACTCCATGGTCCTGAGGAGTCAGGTTGCCAGGTAAGAAGGGACAGCAGCCACGCTGCGCTGACAGAGGGGGCCCCTAGTGGGCCATCTTCCCCCAACCCCTCACCTTGCCCCCACCAAAGCCTCCGCTTCCCAAAAGCGCTACCGCAAACAAGTTCCACTGGAATTTTCTCAGTCCCTCCCACCCCGAGTCTGCATGGAGACCCCTCCACAAGCCCTTTTTCTCCTGAGAACTCTGTCCGTCCAGTCAAGGGCCGGTGGCAGTCCAGCACCCGATCCAGGAACTTGTGCAGTTTTTTCTTTTCCCAACGGATTTCACAGACCTTTAGTCACTATCATATGTGGGCTTAGACAACATTGAAATATTGCCACCCTGATTTCAGCCCAGCTCCCGCAATGCAAACACTAATTTTGCAAACAGTGCCAGAACCCAGGTCTGGGATAGCTTTCCCAGTGCTTAAGGATGGAGTATGCAAGGAAGAGCCAAGCCCTGTAAGGAAACTCCAGATTAAAAGCCCAGGAAGCTGGTTATAGAGCTATGGTGAAAATTACCTAAGAACACCACCCTCGGGGTGCCTGGGTGGCTCAGTGGATTAAGCTGCTGCCTTCGGCTCAGGTCACGATCTCAGAGTCCTGAGATCGAGCCCCGCATCGGGCTTTCTGCTCAGCAGGGAGCCTGCTTCCTCCTCTCTCTATCTGACTCTCTGCCTACTTGTGACCTCTCTTTCTCTGTCAAATAAATAAATAAAATCTTTAAAAAAAATTTTTTTTTTTTAAATCACCACCCTTGGGCACCTGGATGGCTCAGTGGGTTAAAGCCTCTGCCTTCGGCTCTGGTCATGACCCCAGGGTCCTGGGATTGATCCCCACGTCGGGCTTGCTGCTTGGCAGAGAGCCTGCTTCCTTCTCTCTCTCTGCCTGCCTCTCTGCCTACTTGTGATCTCTGTCAAATAAGTAAATAAAATCGTAAAAAAAAAAAAAGAAACCACCCTCAAGGAAACCCATGACGCATTCTGTCCATGACCCCTTTCGAAATTTTTCAGGAAAAAACCCTTCCTGAACTCTCTGCTTTTGACCTCAGGGCTCCTGAGAGCTGCCCCCCTCAAGATCAGGTAACGGTCACCTATCTCAGGACACACCTACCTTCATCATCTCGGCCTCAGAGCACTCCCCTGCCTCTCCAAAGTCGGGATGGTCCTTTGCTCGTCACTGAAAACCTCACCTTCGTTGATAACCACTTGGGTGTTGAAAGACATGTTGGCATTGAATCTCATAGTCTGGAAATGTGCTATAATTGGATAGTGAAAACAGGCATAATGAGGCTCTCCACACCCTGCCTTCCACAGGTCAGGAGGGTGCACACCCTCTGGGCCATTGGCAGCCCCGACAATGGCAGGCCCGATGAGGTGGCCGAAAACGGGATTTCTGGGGGCTTGGCTCATACCTGGGAGCGCTGACAGGAACCCCCTCTCTTCCCAGGGACGGAATGTAGTGCCCGGGGAAGGTCAGGTCCTACCCTGGAGCTCCAACAGCCCCACTCATATGGCCCCATGGCCATCTTCCCAATCCTTCCCGAGAAGCAGCCCACATTGCCTTCACCACCCATAAAACTTTCTTTGCTCCTTTTCAACTCAAATTTAGAGCTCTCGGCAAGAAGGCCCGAGGAGCGGGGAGAGGGTCAGGGATCCGAACTGAGATGGGAAGGAGGTGAAATAAAATTGGGAAGGGGGGAGGAAGAAGAGAGGGAAGAGCAGGGACAAAAGTGGAGGAGGCAAAGGAAAGGGCAGGTAGAGAGGGAGGAAACACAGGGGGTGATGGGGAGAAGGCTGTGATCACCTCCGTGGTTAAGGTTAGACCCTTGTGCCTGGCTCTTCACCTCGCGTCCCCTCCCCGTGGCCCACCATTTCCCAACTCACCTGAACTCCGTCCCCTAGGTCCGGGGTGATGCGCATAATGCCGTCCGCCGCATCTTTCTTGCCAGAGGATGTACACGGCCGCCGCCACCACCACCGCCAGCAGCGTTGGGACCAACGGTCCCATTTTGCATGCAGGACCAGGGAGCAGAAGAAGGCAGGGCAGAGCCACAGGTCTGAGGACGGGGCGCTCCAACAGCAGCTGGGAGGAGCCCCAGTGGGAGCCGAAGCAGAAGGCTGCACTTCTTCCCCCACAGAGTGACCCGAAAGAAGTCCCAGACCTCCTGCCGGCCCTCGCAGGGGCGGGGCACACGCCACGTGATTTCTCTTAGACCAGTTTCCTGACCGTGCTGGGAGCCCGGAGTGAAATCGCATGATTTCTCGGAAAGGGATGGTTAGAAACAGGCGTAAAGCCACACACCCTTTTGAGAAAAGGGCAAGTCTAAGGATGAGGCGAGCCCCTGAAATTTCCCCACTGCAGGCCCGCGGCACTCACTTCCGCAACCCCAGCCCGCAGGCAGCCCTCTGCCTGGGAGCCGCACCCCGAGCTCCACTTTAGCGGGGGACATTCTCTGCAGGTTCCTGCCACCACCATAAACACCCCTGTTTGCCATAGAGCCACTATCTGCCTCTGGCTCTCTCTCACTTCTCAATCCCTTGTCCCAGGGGTTAACCTAACAGGTTTATCTTCCAGGCAGGCTGAAGACTAGAGATTCGGGTTTGTGGATATGCTGAGGAATGTAATTTAAAAACAGGGAACTGGAGGGACCCCGGGCTGGCTGTGGCGGAGGGGAGAGCTGTGGGTGGGAGGTGGAGTAAACAACGCTTGACCTTGGAGTTGTGAGTTCAAGCCCGTGTTGGGTGTAGCGATTACTTAAGTAAAGATTTTTTAAAAAGCAAAACAGGGGCGCCTGGGTGGCTCAGTGGGTTAAAGCCTCTGACTTCGGCTCGGGTCATGATCCCAAGGTCCTGGGATCGGGCCCCGAATCGGGCTCCCTGCTCAGCAGGGACCCTGCTTCCTCCTCTCTCTCTCTCTCTCTCTTCCTGCCTCTGTGCCTACTTGTGATCGCTATCAAATAAATAAATAAAAAATCTTAAAAAAATAAAATAAAAATAAAAAAAGAATAAAAAAGCAAAACAAAACTCTGATCTGGAAAAAAGAAAAGTTTTGTAGCTTGGGCTTCAGGCTCCTCTGTGCCCCCCTCCCAGGCACACCCCAGAATTTGGGGCCACCCTTACCCTAATGCAGACCTCAAGAATGAATGGATCTGCTCCCCTCCTGCATTAACCTTCTCTCCCAGCTTAAGAACAGAAAACCCGGGGCGCCTGGGTGGCTCAGTGGGTTAAAGCCTCTGCCTTCGGCTCAGGTCATGATCTCAGGGTCCTGGGATCGAGCCCCGCATCGGGATCTCTGCTCAGCAGGGAGCCTGCTTCCTCCTCTCTCTCTCTGCCTGCCTCTCTGCCTCCTTGTGATCTCTCTCTCTCTGTCAAATAAATAAAAATAAAATCTTTAAAAAAAAAAAAAAGAACAGAAAACCCACTGAAATGGAGAGATTACTCCATAGGCGAATATATTCCCCAGCCCACCTCTCAAGTCTGAAGAGGCTGAGGCAACTACGTCCTCCCAAAATAGCATATGACATTGACAGAGAACTTGCTAGTAAAGACAGTTGAATACTGGAACAATATTGTTGACAGAGCAGAAGGCAAGCTGAGGACAGAGCACAGGCTGACACCACAGGTGGGATCTGATCTGTGTCTCACTTTCCTCAGGCATCTCTGAGGCCCTAAAGCCAAGGGAAGGAAAGACAAATGGTTAACATAGAGAGATTACACCCCTGCAGGACAGGCGTCTCCCTCAGTTTACAAATGTCTTAGTGATTCACAGGAAAAAAGCATTCTTATCAACCACCTGACTTTCAGAAGGAAACTCCCAACGCTCTTAAAGTTAATGCTTTGCTAGAGGGAAAAACAACCTTAACTTGACAGTGGCAAGGCCTCTCCTATCTTGTAGGTCCTCTTTAGCATAAGAAAGTTCATTTGAAAACCTCCCTTTTCCCTTACCTCCCCCAACCCCACAGTATATCATCAGCCACCCCTCACAGCCCTGGTCTTCTTGCTCATGGGTCCCGTCCCTGTGCTTTAATAAAACCACCGTTTTGCACCAAAGACGTCTCGAGAATTCATTCTTGGTCATTGGCTTCGGACTCCGCCCCACCAAATTTCACCTATTAAAAACCACATCATGGGGTGCCTGGGTGACTCAGTGGGTTAAGCCTCTGTCCTCGGCTGGGGTCATGATCTCAGGATCCTAGGATCGAGCCCCACATGGGGTTTTCTGCTCGGCGGGGAGCCTGCTTCCCTCTCCCTATCTCTGCCTGCCTCTCTGCCTACTTGTGATCTCTGTCTGTCAAATAAATAAATAAAATCTTTTTAAAAAATAAAATAAAATAAAAACCACATCATTTAGCATCCAATGTGGGGCTTTGAATCTTTATATCTGGACCTAGGGCTTTGGTTAAAACTTGGTGAGTACTTTCCTTCTCGTCCTTTATTCTCATTTCAGGAGCTTGTCAGGGAGTGCGGTCTTAATGGAACACTTTCATGCCTGCCAAATGTGCCAAATGTGTCAGGCTGCAATCCTCTAGCCCACGGCTACTCTCCCGGAAGAAGAAGCCTGCCTTTTGGCTGGAAGTTAGTACCCTGCCCGGGGTGGTAATAAGACCCAGAAACTTGGTGCCATCTCTTTACTCCTGTCCTTAAGCAAAGTCTTCTGTCCTGGGCACGGGACAGCTGCCAATTTTAAGACTCCTTTGTGAGGTTCCTCCTCATTGGTCTAATGTGATCCCCTTCGCATCACTGGTCTAGCCGCTTCTGGCTGCAAGACCTCAGTGTGGACCTGGCTGAAAACAGTACCCGACTGAACTTCACCCCAACCCGGGACCATTTCCCAGGGACATTGGCTATGAGGATGACATGTGTTAGAATGTTGCTTAGATCATGATGGATTTCTCTTTGTACTGCTTTCCATCAGTGTCCTCTACTAACTACTTAAGTCACAAAACTGGGTACTTCCCTCTTATAAAACGTCTCTAGTATAGTCCATGGGTTTAAAAAAGTAGATTTTAAGTGGCCTTCACAGCAAAGCAAGCCAAAGTGCATGTGGTCTTCACAGCGGGGCCTTTAGCAGGGCAAGCCAAGGCACATTGTGACCTTCACGGGGAGACTTCGGCAGGACAGGCCAAGGGGCAGTTGGCCTTCACCTTGGGGCCTTCATGTCAAGGGAAGCCAAGGTGCACGTAGCCTTCACAGCAAGGCAAACTCAGCCCATACACGGCATCCATCGCAGTCTAGAATGCGATGGGGAAGTAGGGGGAGGGCAGGTCTCTCTCCTACAGGGCATTTATGGCAGACAGTGGTCACAGAGATTTCATGTGAGGGACACTTCAAGTTGCTATGACTCCAGGAACCTCTGACATACCCTGCATGTGGGATGCCACCCGGGAGTCAGGACGGGAGGACTGGTTTTCTTGGTAATGGACATTCTCTATTCAGCCCCCAACGACTCTCCCCTGGGATGCTTTTTCTCCCACTGGAAACAAATTTAAAAAGGTACTGCATGACCTCAATAGGATCTATCAGATCTCTTCTGTGGGAAACAGGGCAAATGCATGTAGGGTACCTTCATTGCTCGTACCTGGGCCTTCACTGGTCTACACCCGGACCTGAGGGCCTCTTGCAGAATGTGTTTGCCCAAATGTGTCAGCTAGTAAACTCCCTCCTGACATGTCAAATGATAATTACCTAAATGTTGTCTTTAAACTTATCAGCATTAACTGTGAAACTTTTATTCTATCAAGGTTTGCTGAAAGTCAAATAAGCTCGCGTTACATCTGTTGCAATTTGTTAGCAAAAAGATGACTTAAATGATTGTTAATTGTCTCAAAGTTTTCATGGGTAATTATTAAGACAGTTTCGGTGGGATTCATAAAAGAGACCTTTAGGACAAATACAGGTATTTAATATCTTTAAGATCCTAAAACGGAATTTGGTAAGAATTTCCAGAACTAACTAAACTGAGGATAATTATAGTTTAAGACTCTTGTCTAAAACATTGCTGGTTCTCTAATATTTGCTTTTCCAGACTAAGGATAATTTCTCTTAAAACATCAGTGATATACAGAAATAATAAGACAATTATTCCTCTGTGAACAAACTGAAGTCTTTAACTTTTCTCTCTACCTGAACCCTCTGAAATTCAGGAGGTCTCAGTGAGTGGTCTTTCTTCCATGGCAATTACGGTCATTAGCGTAAGTTCCGTAAGAATCTGTTCTCCTTGCTAACAGGACGCCATTGGAAACATTGGTGATTTTACCAAGGCTTTGACTGCAATGTCATATTTGAGAGAGACGAGCATAGACTCAGATATGGCCAGACAGCTTAAAGGAACTAAGGTTGACTTTATGAAACCCAGAGCCATAAAGGCCCTTGGAACTGTGGGCCTGATACCTTGCTTACAGAGTTCCCAGCAGCCTCACCAGGTGAGTAAAGAGTGCCACTTCCTGGCAGGTGCAGGAACCTCAGGATACTTCGGGGACCTCGAGAAAGAAATTCACCCACTCTAACTGGTGGTTCAGGCATGTCTGGCAAGCACTTGGCTTGGCTTCTGGCCTGGAGAGGCTACCAAAAGTTCAACCTAAAGGTTCCTTGTAAATAGTTCCAGCAAAGCAGATTCTGAAACAGCTATATGGTCAAGCACTATTCCTGCTGAGCTTATGTAAATAATTAGGCCAACTTTTTAAAAATTGGACTTGTTTTATAAATAAATTAGTCCTGATTTGGCTATCTCTGATTAAAAATGAGGGTTACTATAGAGAGAAAATATTTCAATAACACATATTTGTAGTTACCAGATTTTAAGCATTGAGACTCAAGAAAACTGGAATGAGGATTTGCCCCAAAACAGCCAATAGGGTTAAGTCCTTTTGAGTTACTATATGAAAAACCTTTTCTCACTGTAGACCTAGCAATTGATGGAGACTCTAATGTTCTGTTAATTACTCCCTTGAAGCCTGGGTTAATTCGTAAATCTCTAAATGAATATGCAAACCATATCCTCCCTAAACCTGATCTGATAAAAAGTTACTAGCAGCCCACCCCATATAAACCCTGGAGACCCGGTTTCTTTAAAGGATGGGAAGTCTAACACAGTAGAGGATTTAACTCCAAAATGGAAGGGTCCCTGCTGGGTCATATTATATACTCCCACTGGAGTAGA